TTGTCTATTAATTTTATAAAATATATAATATCTCATACACACACACACACACACACACACACACAAACACACACACACACACACACACACACACACACACACACACACACACACACATATATATATATATATTATATATATTATATATATATATATATATATATATATATATATATATATATACATATCGGGGGGATATATTCTTTACCGTTTAAAACTCGTGTTTCTTCTACAAGAGATACAAATCTCTTGTATTAATCAAGGTCTTGTGTTAATCTCTTCATAACGACAACCCATACTTGCCTGCATATAAATAATGTTAGAAAATTTATATGATTTATATTAATACCGTAATGGTTATAGTGATGAAATAATGGAAACATAACTTTTTATATATGAAAGAGGGTTAATTTTGTAGACTAGTATTTTTTTTATATATATATATATATATATATATATTTTTTAATCTTTACAGGGAGATTCCAGTCAGGATATATTTGAAGAATATAAATTTAAAGAATAAATATGAGACTCCAGTGAGGATACACTTGAAGAATGTATATGCTACTCTCACCCTTGCTACCATAGCAGCCTCTGTTGGTGGCTATGCCCACATGTTCAGCACATTTATTAGTTCTGGATTCATGACTTTTCTTTTCTGAGTGCCATTTGGGTATTATTACTCATATTTACACCTTATGATGGCAAAAACCAGCTGCAGAGACTTTCTCTCCTTGGTATCTTTGCCTTCTTGACTGGCTGTAACCTTGGCCCATTTTTGAATCTGGCTGTGACTATCAACCCTGCATTGGTAAGTGAATCTATTAAGGATACACATCGTCATTTTATTCATATAGTTATGTCATTAATATTTGAACGTTTAACTATATTTATATTGACTGACTTTTAATTTTATATATATATATTTTTTTATAGGTTTTGCAAGCTCTGCTCGGCGCAAGTGTGATATTTGCTTGCTTCTCCCTATCAGCTCTCTATGCTCCTGATGGTCATTACCTCTATCTTAGAGGTACACTGATGTCGGTATTGTTAACCCTCATTTGGGTTTCGATATATAATATCTTCTTTGGCTCTCAACTCCTTTTTAAGGTAAGTCTAATAATGGAGATTGTCTTTTTTTATTATAAATCAATGAGTATTTATTATTCTGATAATTATTATTTCTATGCTTTTATGTCTGTCTTATTTTTTTTTTAGGCAAATTTGTACATTGGTCTAGCAGTCATGTGTGGCTTTATAGTCTATGACACTCAGTTCATTGTTGAGAGAGCACGCCGAGGAGATATGGACTATGTGATGCACAGTTTGAATCTATTCGTTGACTTTGTTGGAGTATTTTGGCGCCTTCTCATGATCCTTACAAATAAGGTAATTTCTTATAGTATAGAAAATGGTAAACATGTACAATCGCCTTATTACAAATATATAATAAGAGAAGAATTTGCTATGATTCTATATCCAGTAATTATAGACGTTCAACTAACGTTGGGTGGGTGCTTCATGCGCAGGGTGGTGTGAAGCGATGGAGTGGTAGTCTAGTTAGTGTTAAGAGCTTCTGCATGCCTTCTCGCTTACAGCTGGCACCGCTGGCTAGCCTCATGCGAAAAAGGGAGCAGCTCTGCATAAGCCTCCCCCTGCCAGTGCATAGCCTCTCCATCATCGAGACTCCCTGCAGTGCCTCCTCGTGGCCGCCCATGGAAACTGGGTACCTTGCGGTTCCAGGCTAAACTGAGGGGGATCTCGGAGCAGCAGGAGGCCCCAGAGGTCCAGGGCCATGGCCCACCGGCGTGTGGACATGCCCTGGCCCTGTACCAACTCCTGCCCCCTAGCCCCCTGAGGTTAATGGGAGGCTCGGGGGAGGTGGGCCTTGCCAGTCCTCCTCCCCCCAGATATAAACCAATCGGCAGTGTCACAATTAAATGGAAAGGCTGGGAGGAGGGGAAAATCCCCTCCCACCCAGCAAGTGAGGCGGACTGTGGGCCCTGCTGGGAGGGCGACTGCTGGAACTACCCGTCTCGCCTGCGCTCTGGTGGCCGCCAGCCCAGAGTGAAGCTTGTGGGGGAAAGCCCTCGGGAACCCCACAGGTGGATGATGGGGCACGCAGCCCGCCACCCCCTTTTATATGGGGCAGCGTCGGTGGGGGTGGCAGAGGTGGCATCCACCCGGAGCGACTGCCAGAGGTTGAACCTCAGGCGGGAAGTTAGGGTGGGGGCTTGGAACGTCTGATCTTTGCGTCAGGATGATCTGTTGCCTCTACTGTTGAGGGAACTGGGGAGGCTGAGAGTTGAGGTGGCTGCTCTCTCGGAGGTGAGAAGGCCTGGCAGCGGCATGACCTGTGTAGGTGGCTACACCTATTACTGGTCGGGCCGCAGCGATGGCCACCATCTCCAGGGAGTAGCCATTGCCATCTCCAGCAGACTCCAGCCCTCGGTAGTAGAGGTTACTTCTGTTGATGAGCGTATAATGGTATTGAGATTGAAGCTTTCTTTTGGCTTCATGTCTCTTATTGCTGTGTACGCTCCTACCGATGTTTGTAAACTTGACGTGAAAGAGATGTTCTACTCCAAACTTACATCTGTGGTAGACAGATGTCCCCGACGAGATATTCGCATTGTTCTGGGCGACTTCAATGCGGTATCGGGCTGTGATCGAGCTGGCTATGAGATGTCTGTCGGTCCCCATGGTTCAGGAACTGATGCCGGTAGTGAGAATAGCCTCCTTTTCCGGGACTTTGCTAGGTCCCAGAAATTGAGGATTTCTGGCTCCTGGTACCAGCGCCCAGACCCACATCGCTGGACATGGTACAGTGATGCGGGTAACGCAGCCAAGGAGATCGACCACATACTTGTTAGCACTCGTTGGAGGATCCTTCAGAATTGCAAGGTGTACAGGAGTGGTACTGACCATAGATTCTGCGTGGCTACCCTCCGGGTCCACTTCAAAACCCCCCAGCGGTCAAATGATCACCCTAGGGTGTTTCATTTGGACAGGCTGAGAGAGGGGGAGTGTGCCCGCGGGTTTGCTGAGGCAATCTCTGATCGTTTCGCAGTGCTTGGCAATCTGACAGACCCTGTTCTTCTGTGGGATACCTTTAAGCATGAAACGCTTGATGCAGCTCAAGATACGATTGGTGTACGCCCGAGAGCAGTACAGAATTCCATCTCGCAGGAGACACTGGAAGCCACAGATGCATGTTGTGCGGCTCGTCTGACAGGGGATCGGGAATTGCACCGGTCTCTTGTGCGCAGAACTCGGTCCCTGTTAAGAAGGGACAAGGAACAGTTTATTAGGAGTCTTGCAGAGGAGGTAGAAGGCCATTTCTTAGTAAATGACCTTCGTCCTGCATACCAAGCCCTGAGAAAGCTGAACTCCAAGCCCTCTTCACAGGTGACAGCAGTTCGCTCAGTAAGTGGTCAGATCGTTTCAGATCCTGTTGCGGTGCGGGAACGTTGGGCTGAGTATTTTGAGCAGCTGTACCAGGTTGACCCACCAGCAGTTAACTTGGATGCGGGTAGTGTCGAGATCCCGCTGCCAGATCCACCTATCAGTGAGGACCCTCCCTCCATGCTGGTTACATGCTGTCCTGGCTGCCATCTGGCAGTCTGGTTCCGTTCCTCCTGACCTGTTGAGGGGTGTGGTCATCCCTCTCTGGAAGGGGAAGGGTACCGTTGGGACTGCAGCAATCACCGAGGCATCACACTGCTCAGTATACCAGGCAAGGTTCTCGCCCACATCCTTCTGAGACGTATCAGAGACCATCTACTGAGGCACCAGAGACTGGAGCAATCCGGATTCACTCCTGGTAAGTCCACAGTAGACCGAATCCTCGCGCTTCGAGTCATTGTAGAGCGCCGTCGTGAGTTCGGGCGTGGGCTGCTTGCAGCCTACATCGACCTCAAGAAGGCGTTCGATACGGTGCATCGGGAGTCACTTTGGGAGATCCTGAGGCTGAGAGGAATACCAACAAGGATTATTGGACTAATAGCAAGCCTGTATACTGGTACTGAAAGTGCTGTAAAGTGTGGTGGGGGCCTGTCGAGCTTCTTTCCTGTTAGTTCAGGAGTGAGGCAAGGTTGTGTCCTTGCACCAACTATTTTCAACACTTGCATGGACTGGATACTGGGCAGAGCTACTGTTCAAAGCCATTGTGGGGCAACGCTGGGCAATATCAAGGTTACAGACCTTGACTTTGCTGATGACGTTGCCATTCTATCTGAGTCTTTGGAAACCCTAGTGGCGGCTCTCGATGCATTTAGCAATGAAGCGAAGCCCCTGGGTCTAGAGGTCTCCTGGACCAAGACCAAGATCCAGGAATTTGGGGACTTGTTAGGAGAACCTGTTCAGTCGGTACGTGCTTGCGGCGAGGACATTGAAGTCACGGAGAGCTTTACATACCTTGGTAGTGTAGTTTATAACTCTGGGCTGTCAGACCATGAAGTCAGCAGATGGATTGGCCTGGCAGCAGGGGTCATGAACTCTCTCAACAAGTGTATTTGGAGATGTCGGTACCTGTGCAGAAGGACCAAGCTACGGGTTTTCAAGGCCCTGATAATGCCAGTTTTGCTATACGGTAGCGAAACCTGGACATTGTCCTGTGCCTTGGAGGCTCGTCTTGAAGCCTTTTGTAATAGGTCCTTGCGCCAGATCATGGGGTACTGTTGGCGGGACCACGTGTCCAACCAACGGTTGCACCGTGAGACTGGCACAAGACCTGTTATCTGCATAATCCGTGATCGCCAACTCAGGCTATACGGCCACCTGGCTCGCTTTCCTCAGGATGATCCTGCCCACCAGGTCGTCTCTGTTCGAGACAAGCCTGGGTGGAGGAGGCCTGCGGGACGATCAAGGAAGTCATGGCTTAGGCAGATCGACCAAACCTGCCGTGAAGAACTAGAGATGGGCCGAGTCCCTGCCTGGCGTCTAGCCATGAGGGATCCTCGTAGGTGGAAGCGAAGGGTGGATGCGGCTATGCGCCCCCGTCGGCGTCAGCCCCCATGATGATGATGATGATGATGAACTAACGTTGTATATATATTTTTTTTCAGGAGGCACAGAGCAAGAGGAAGAAAAAAAGCTGTAATAAGGAAATATAACATATTACATTACATAATATTGTTTATCGGGTATTTGATATAATATTGCTTATCGAATACTTGTAAGGAATAAACCATAAGGTTATCATGATTTTTTTTAATAATTTTTTGGCAAAATATTTTTTTTATTGACCAGACAAAAAGTATTGTTAATTCTGATTATTTTCATTGAAAAGAAACTTATTTTTGTTAGACATATCCAATAAGTTATTTTGAGACACAGGTGAAGCATTTATTTGAAGATCTACTTTACTGTCATTTTTACTGTTAATCATTTCAAATACATCTCTCTCTTTGTAAGTATTTGACTGATCATGGTCGGGAAGGTAGATGTGTTGATCATTCAATCGGAGAAACAATTCCTCCAGGAGAGAGTCAAAGGAGAGCATCTCCATATTTTTACTCAAGAGGTATATTAAGAAAAGATCGCCAATCTGTAACTTTTTCGAGACGTTTTGGTCCAAGACTTTCTTGTAGTGCAGCATACTCGCAGGCTTTTGGAATAGCAATGTCGACCTGATGACGGGAACGTAAAACATCAACAGACGATAGATAAACGCCGTTATACTAATGACAGTCAATACAATAAACCAAAACCACATTATAACATAAATCTTTTCGTTAATGATATTTAGGGCGAGCACACACATGAGATCGTGGATCTCAACTGTACCCGAAGGCCCATATGTATGAAAGGAACACTTGGTGACTCGCGGAAATATCACAATCATCGGGTCTGTTCGTTCTTCTTGATTGGTCTCCGTGAAGCTCAGTACGTCCGTCCCATACGTGAGAAACATCCCACCTAAAAATCTATTCATAAACCACATATTGAACAAACAATTTATTATATTGAGCAACTCGCAGAAAAAAAACTTGATGGCATAAAAGTTGTGGTGATGAAGAGAATTGCATAGATAGTCGACCAGCAGTTGAATCTTATCGCGGCGTTCCTCTTTATTCATGATGGGGGTGGCTAGACCCATAATAATAGATTCCAGCTTGCCATTTTCCCATGTTTTCCAAAGCCAATGAGGTGCGTAGAACATCAAACCCTACAAGGAAAAAAAAGAGAGTAATTTATGTTATACATACCTGTAAGAAGAGTACAAACGGTACCCATTGATAGTAGGCATGGTGCGTTTTCGTGTCATCTGGTAAACTAGGGCCAACGCCAGGGTATGCCAAACCTGTCCCTTAATTTCATAAAGGAAGAGAAAAGAAACTTGAAATCAACTTGAATCTTTTAACATTATACAGTATATTATATATACAATGCAATATATTATAGTATGAATATTATCAATTATGTGAGTAATCTTACCCTTTCCGTAGTCTTTATCAATATGCCTTGGTAACGTAAATGTCGTATGGATCCAACAATATGTGTTTACGACCTTATCTTTTAGTTTCGAGTTGTTATCATGCATGCAACTATCGGGAGAAAGTAAAACAATATATATATATATATATATATATATATATATATATATATATATATATATATATATATATATATATATATATATACTTACTTGATGGGATCTCCGACTAGACTATTGGCGCTAACTAAAAGACAAAAACTAAAGAGCATCATTGCCGTAAAGCGATAATGTAGTTTGAAAACGGCACTATAAATATCCGCTGCATTGTGATTAGTTTTTACGAGTCCTCGGAGACCTGTTAATAATCCTACTAACACCATTTTGTTTTACAACATGTAGGATAAACAAGAAAACATAAATATTGTATATATTTACAATATCACTGACTAGATAAGTGTCAATATTCTAGTTAATATATATACATATATATACATTATTAAATCAATCTATTTTAAGTATATCATGTTTATTTTCTCCCCTTTATTTTTTATACAATTTCAATGGGTGTCTTTGTTTGAACATTAATATTTTATAGGGTACTTGTACAATTCGCAGTTTTGATTTGTGTTTTTTTTCTATTTCTAATCTGGTACGATAAGAAAGGTGATTTTCATTTTTCCTAAATTCAATACAATATTCAAGCGGTGGTCCTTTTTTTCTAATTTCTTTCACCATATCTATTTCTCCTAATATGTCTAACATCATTTGTTTTATACTAGTTGATAAATAATACAAATAACATACATACTTTCGAATTTGGTAACTTGTCATTCTCTAAGTATAGGTGTCTATTGGTGATAGTTTTTTCAATTCTATTGAAATCTACTATAACTTCATTATTTTCAAGATCTATAAACTTTATTAAAACTTGGTGATATTCCATATTCTCATCATTTAATATAATTTGAAATTGCTCATATAAATAGAGGCATATGTTTTTTTCGGAATTTGATTTGTTGCATATTATATTGCTAATAGTCCGGTTTTTCATCTCTAATTCATGTACCGTTTGATTGTATTGTTTCAATAAACTTGGTGAGGAATCATATGGTAGTTGCAATTGACCTCTTCCTGCTGCTGCCGTTGCCGACATGGAGGATGATGGATCGAGTTCTCGGTCCCATGCTCTGATAAAAACCTTGGATCCGCCTGTTGTTTGGGCGGACGATGGTCCGTGTTGCTGTTGTTGTGATATGTTATCCGTTAGTTGGGTTTGTGATTTTCTTTTCACGTCTATTTTCCTCATAGAAGAAACATTGTTTCGTTTTGGCGATAGTACGTGTTGTCTGTTTCGTTTTTTTTTAATAAAAACTTTGGGAACTTGCAATTTGCTATATCGTTGTGATACATCATGTTTGTTGGTGTTTGGAATTGGTGAGGAAGCCCCTTATTTCAAAATTTAAGTTTCTTTCCTCATTCCAAAGGGATGGGAAAAAGAAGCTATTCAATTGTAATCTCTTTAATTTTTTAACATATATATCTTATTTTTTCTTAACAGTATATAAAAAAATGTATGGTTATTATTTATTTACATTCAATTTCATTTACAATTATTATTTGTTTATACTTGTTATAAACTTTAGCTTGATACTTATAATTGATTATAAATATCTATAAAGTATTTTATACTTGTGGGTTTCATGTTGTGTTTGATCAGGGTCTAATTCTATTCTTATTCTATAAGAAAATAGACGATCTATATCTCTTTTAAAATTTACAACAATCCTCTGCGAAGGACCATATTCCCTAAGACTCATCATATTGTTCATAATATCTAAAATTTCGACCATCATTTTCTTTACAGTCCATGGTTGTCTATATATAAATGTATCTATATTTGGCTCTATATTCTGTACTTGATACATATTAGAAGAAGTAGAATATACATACACTGTTGATACCAATTTGTTATTATCATAGGACACAACATCTCTAAATGAATAAAGATACTGTGTTCATCTCTCGTGTCTCTTAGTATCTTATCCAAGTCTTCTTGAATTTTAGATAATACACTTTTTTCAAAAAATGTTCGTTCACATATATTCTTATTCAAATTGTTTTCAACTTCTGACACTTCTAACGCTAATGCGTCTGGGTAATATTGCTGTTGATGATTATCATAGTTATGATAATCTTCTTGTTGTTGCTGTTGTTGCAGCTGTAAAACAGCTTCTCCTTCAGTGGTGATTTGAGATCCATGTTGTTGTTGTTGTGGTGGTGGCAATGTTAGGTGACGGTCTATATTTTCCAAGATTGGGAGTTCACTATAGTGTTGTTGTTGAATAATCTCGTTATCGTTTTGAATTGTATTAAAATCCTGTCGTTTTGACGATAACTGATCTGTAATCTGTTGCTGTTGTTGCGGCTGCTGTTGCAATTGTAACATGGTATATTCGTGGTCTGTCCAAACTAAATCTTGAGATCTGGATCTCATATCATAGATTTGTTCTGGTTGTTGTGTGTGTTGATTGTTCTTCTTGTTCTTCTTTATATTCTTGCTGATCCTGTAGTTGTTGATCCTGTTGTTGATATTCTTGTTGCTCTTGTTGTTGTTCTTGCTGTAACGTATCTGTTTTTGGGGTATCATTATCAAATTCATCTTCATCGTCATCGTCCTTTTTCAAGACTTGGAAATCGCCATGCTTTTTTTCTTGATTGAGAGTATCGTAGATGGCTTATTTTCCTCTTGTTTCTCGTCATCTCTCCAATCTTGGCTTTTCTCTTCTTTTTTTGTAGTTTGTAGTTTGAAATTTGTAGTGAGGCCTTTCTTAATCTCATGGTAAGGTGGTTCTTTGGGAAGAAGAGAAATATATGCTCTTAGCTCCAGTATTCGTTTAAATTTATATTTTTAGATTTATTTAATTATATTTTCCTCCCACATAATAGGTGAAAGATGTAACGATATTGTTATTATTATTTATTTATACTCACCGTTTATAAGAATAAATCTTCTTTTTTTTAATTGTATATCTCTTTCTTGGTACGATCATGTTAACATATTATACATGTCATCCTCATCATTTCATGGATTGACAATAGCACTTTTGCTGCATATTTTTTCTTCAGTATTTTTGCACATTTCTTCATTTCTTTTTTGCGTTTCTTTCATAATATTATTCTCGTTACATATATCCTCATTTTTTTTTATTTCATCATTTAACTCTTTTAGCTTCGTGTTATTTAGTTTTATTCTAACATTTAGCATCGTTATTGTGTCATTTTAACATCGTTATTGTGTCACTTATTATTGTTATTATATCATTATTATTATTATTGTGTCATTTATAGTCTCATTCAGAGTTGACGAGGATGGCGTGATGGTCTTGGTGGTCTTGTCGGTTAATGTAAGCAAGTTTTCATTATCATCATTCCTATTTTTGTTATTGATATCACCATCGTGATGGTGCTGTGATTTATTAGTTGTGCTCATTTTTATTTTATCTATATATAGATATGTTCTATCAACCAGAGAGTTGTTTTTAGACCATTGTTTCTCTGGTTAACCCCGACAAGGACAAATATATTTATAAGGACAATTAAGTTTTTTTTTACTTTGATGGGTTTTAATAACCTGTTTGATAGGTTCTAATAGCCTGTTCAGTTAAGCACATATACATTTTTGTATATTCTCTCCTTTGAGATTAGTAACGACGGATAAAGATAATGGGGTACTCGTCTATAGAAACACCCAACGATCTAAACTTCATGTCTAGCCTGCGTTTTCTTGAGATAGCAAAATCAAGAAAAGACGATGAATCTTTTTCTATTTGGACAAGAAGACTTGTACATCCAGAAGAAGAAGAATTGAAAATAAAAGGATATAATATTATTGCCCAGGCAAGAGGTTTCCTTACTAGAAATGAATCTAGCGACTATCAATCTACAAAAACGGAAAATCCGGAAATTAGATATTTTACAAGTGCTTGGGATTATGATACGTCTGACGACATTGTATTCAAGAAAATGGAAGTGTGAGCAAGATCCGCGCTGTAAAATTTACACGAAGCGGCGGCATTTACAGATCTAGCGAAGCATACGATAAGAATTGCGAAATCATACAAATGAAGATGTATGATGGGTCACTGCACTGGATTTTAATGCCCAAAAAATCTTCAGGAAGAAAAGATCTAATAAATTTGGTAAATTCCATAAACTGGTTAAATTTGCACTGCACATTCAGTGAAGATAAATCGAGTATTGTTCATATTCCCAAGTTTGTTATTGAAAAATCCTATACCAAACCAAAATTATAAAAACAGTTGGCCTTTTATCGAGATTAACGAAGGAAAATCTGAAATAACGGAAGATGATTCCAAAGAGCAAGATGTTATTATCATCGATAAACCTTTCGTGTTTGTCAACTGTGACTGTGATGGATCAATACAAGAAATGGGAATGTTCTTGAATGTTAATGGTAATTGATAAATAATGATATTAATAAGCCATTTTTATTATTTATAACTGCCATAGGCTTTGTTACAGGATATTGGATACAAAATTACTCCGCTGGATTGTCGATGTATAAATTTTTGATACAAGCGAGCTTTTTTTTATGTGAGTATTGGTGCGAGTGAATGTCTTTATACTTAATAACAAATTTGATCGATATAGTTTTACTGGATTGTCAATGTTTCAATACAAGCGACTATACTGATAAATAAAAACAACAAATTTAATCCATATCTTTTACGGCTGCCCCCCATACACCGCTTGTGTGGTGACAAGTTTATTATGCCTTTGTCTCAAACTTTCTAAAGCACAACATATTTCATGATATAGTCTTGGAATCGATTGAATTATTCGAGTGTCTGATTTGCCCTTGGAGTCTTCTTTTTTTGGTCAGATGTGGGGTTGTTTTTCTTCTTCTTCAGTAAGATCTATTATATTGAGATTAGGACATTTGACACTAGAGTACGACATCCTTATATAGATAGAACCTTAAAGGCGAATATGATAGTTGGTGATAGCTGTTTGATGATGCTGATATTATAAAGCGTTTGCTCTGTATCTCATTCAACAGGATATGTACTCTCCTACAATGTTACGTTTTTTTGCTTACACCCCCTCCTAAGAGAAGAATTTTTGTTGGTAGAGTCCGTAAGATGACCTTTCTCGTTCAACGGGATATATATATACTATTATGTTTTTTCACTTAATCATCTTGGTGAAAATTGGAGGCAGGAAGAGAGATATATTGAGATATTTTTGTGGCTCATTATCGATTATCGAAGTTAGACAAGAGAGTAATATTCTCTAGTCAAGGGAGGGAGGTTATGGTAATATAAGTATAGAAATATACAAGTATGATGTCTAGAATAGTAAACATATCAATATAAGAATGTATAATAACCTAAAATCACTTAGTTATAAACCCAATATAATAAAATGGACTCTCCTCGGGATATACCAAAATATAAGGAAAAAAAATAACAATGATGCTATTGACGTTGAAAATGTAAAGATTGTAGAAAATATATATATAAAAAATACTATAAAAGATACGATTGAATATGTCAATGAAACCGATTAAAGCTATCAGATAAATGATATGTGAATTTATTTATTTATATAATCCAATCCAATACTGTATTCTTTAACTGTTTCTTGACTATATTTGGAAGAAATGATAACAATATTGACGGTATAACGGTACATTTTAACACATATACACATATAAACATACATACATATATTGTATTATGGAAAATTAACTCTGGGATAATACATCTTCTCGAGTTGTCTTTTCCTTTTTATTTTTTCCTGATAAAATTTTTCGAATCCAGTAAATCCAGTCGGTATATTTTCTATTGTATAAGTAACTCCAGAGGATGTGTTTTCTATTAAATACTTATCAGCAATATATTTCCATACGAAATTGAACCC